CTTGTCCTTGCCCTTGCCACGGGCCTGACCCTTCGTGCCGCCCTTGCCCTTCGGGTTCCACGAGCGCCAAGGTGGCGTCCCGCGGTGCTGCCCTTTGTCGCCCTTCGGCTTGCCCTCGTTGCCAGCCTTCGCCTCCGCGGTCACGTCGTCCGCGAACCTCACGCGACGAACAGGGCTCGAGGGTCTCCGAAGGGCCGGCTTGCGATCCACTCCAGGGCTGATCGAGCCAGGTGCTGGCCGCCAGTGGGGCGACGGGCTCCTCGGGCTCCCCGATCTCTCGCCAGCACCTGCCCCGGCTGCCGGGCTCGGCGACGCTCTCTTCACTGCCTCGCCAGCGCCCCCTCGACCGCGACCTCGCCCTCGGCCGCGTCCACGCCAGAGCTTCGCCCTCCACCTGTCCTTCCTCGATCCGGGCGTCGGCGCATCCTTCTCCCCCTGTGCTCCAGGACTCGATGTCTGTGGGGGCGGCGTCGCGGGAGAGGGCGTCCTGGTGCGCCCGCCCTCTCCCTCGCCGAATCCCTAGGGGGGCCTCCTCGCGCCCGCTCGAGTGAGGCGCTCCTTCAACTTCGCACCCTCCGAGTAGGATGCCACGGCCGCCGACACCTCGGCGCTGCTGGCCAGCCCGATGTCGGTGGAGTCGATCAGTTCGAGGTGCTCGGCTATCTTCCAGTGCCCGTCCTTGGTGGCCTGCTCGATGGCCTTCAGCCTCTGCATGAGCATGTCGCCCAGCTGCGGCAGATCGCCCCTCGTGAGGGCGTCCAGGCACTCCCCGATCATCCTCATCTCGCGCACATTCCGCACCCCCATCTCGTTCTGAGGGTGCATGCCGTGCCACACGCTCGTAATATACTGCACCACGTTGGACGCCATCCTATCCAGCTCATCATCGTTGTCGGCCCCGCCCCGCTGCGCCAAGTACTCTCGGATCTGCTTCAGACCCGCCGCCATGAGCGCCCCGGGGTCGGAGCGGGCCAGCTTCTGCACTCGGCGGCCGGAACCAGCGGTCGGGGCCTCATCAAAACTCGCACTGTCGGAGCTATCCTTGTCCCTGTTCTTCTGCTTCTTGCGGCTGCGGCGGCCCTCCAGCGCAGCCTCGGCGCGCTCGGCCAGCGCCTCGCCCATGGAGCGCTTCCTCTGAAGCTTCTCCTTCAGCCTCTTGACGATCTTCCTCATCTCCTCGGCCGTCCTGCCATCCACGTCCTCACCGTCGGCACCGCCTGAGCCCTTGGGAGCTCCACCTGCGTTCTTGCCCGGCACCACGGGTCCAGCGTCAGCGGCGGGCGGCGCACCGCCTGCAGGGAGGGCGCCAGGCGGGGTGGCTCCAGCGCCATCAGCGGCACCGCCTCCAGGCCTGGCCGCCCCCAGCACGCGCAACGTGTCCGAGTGCACCACGTTGCGCCCTGGCCAAGCGGTCGTGCGACAGCAAGTCGCCACGCCCTGGGTGCAGAGGTGCACCACGCTGCTTCCCATCGCAAAGATGCCCTGCAGGATCGGCAGGTAGAGACGGTCGCTGCTGCTCTCCACTGTGCACTCCACGAACTCTCCTGCCGCGTCAGGCGGATACAGCCCTGTCACGGTCATCGTCGTCGTCCCGCTTGGCTGACAGGCAGCATCGTACATCACCAGCTCGACGCGGCAGCCGGCGCTCAGTCCCAGGAGGCCGTGGGTCACGGCCTGGGGCGCCATGGGCACGTATACCCAGGGTCCAGCCTGCTGCGCCGCCGCCGCGTCCCCCGCCACCGCTGGCTGGGCGAACGCTGCTCCGAACTGCGGCAGCGCCCCGCCCGCCGCGGGCATGCCTGCCTGCCAGCCCACGGGCACAGGCGCGGCGGCGGCTGGCACCGCGTGGGCGGCCTGCCCTGCCACGGCGTGGCCGCCTCCACCCCCAGCGTGAGCGGGTGGTCCCACGAGGGCCCCCACCCCGGGGATCCCTGGGATCAGACCCGGCACCACGGGGCCGCCCAGGGCTGCTGGCGCTCCTGCTCCAGCGCCAGCGCCTCTGCCGCGACCTGCAGCGGGCGGCGGGGCGGCAGGCGGCTTGCCCATGCCGCCCATTGGGCCACCCATGCCGCCCATGCCGCCCTTGCCGCCCATCCCGGGCTTCGCCGCTGCCTTGCCTCCGCCCCCTGATGCTGCGGGGCCTGCAGCGGCGCCCACGCCGAGGAGCCCCCCGCCAGGGCCCAACCCAAGCGGGCCAGGCGGGGCGCCCGCGCCAGCCCCCGCGGCTCCGAACATCGCCACCGCCGTGCTGCCGCCGCGGCGGCGCGGGCTGGTGAGCTCCCCCAGCCGCCGAGGGGGGAGCTCACTCGGGCGCGGGCTCCTCGGAGGGGGTCATTCTGGGGACCCCCGCTTGCTTCTCTGACAGGGCTAATAGAAGCACCTCCACCGCGCACACCCTGCCGCAGCTTGAGCCGAGGCGGCTACGGAGAGGCGGTTTAGAGGAGATCGTTTCGAGGACGGAGGGGGGACGAGATAAAACCCATGAGAATCTCAAATATATATATATATATATATATATATATATATATATATAACCCACCACCTTGGCATCCACTGCTAGTCTCGCTATCCCCTCAGCAGCCCCAACAGTCATCTCGGAAGCGGACCCTGGGCATTCTAGACTTGGACCCTGGTGTGAGCAGGGGCCGACCGTCCTGGCACTCGTGTGGGGTTACTACGCAACGTTCTTAGAACCATAGAGTTTCCTAACAGCAAATCTTAGAGCACAGCCCATATATGGTGAAACAACAAGGCCGCGGTCACACATGTTCTAAAAAAATTTCGTGCAAACCACGAGAAGCTCTTCGGGCATGTTCTGGTGTGCCTATAGGCGAATCGAGACGGTTCGCCACTTGACAGGTCCCTACCCGTTAGGTGCGGAAAAGGATGGGCACGACGCCCACCAACAACTGTTGTTCCAAACCGACAGCGACCACCATTGCGTAGGCGGCCTTCTGACTCAAAGGGGCAACGTCCGCGGACAAGCACCGAGAACGACCTTGTTCAACATGGACAGGCACCGCTGTTGGTCTTCCTCCCCATTCTTTCCGTGCCTATCTCGATCGTGCCGGTTGGACCCTGGTCCAAGCCCCCCTCGGGGGCGGGCAAACATGGACTAGCGATCCATGGACTTGCCGCGCGGTCGCCAAATCCATGGATCGGGGGAGGTGCCCTCCCCAAAAAGCAGCCGGTGCCGCCTCGCTCGGCGGCGGAAATCCGCGATTTCCCACGGGAACGGGACCCGTCGCTAATCCACGCCCCCGCTGACCCATCTTTTTGAGCAGGGAACGGCCGTCCCGGCATTCCTATAGTCCTTCCACGACATTATCTTAGAATCCAGAAATGTTCTAAGAACGCAAACCATGTTCTTAGAATATAAACCCGATGTGATAAAAAATTAGCCTGGCGAAGGACCCAACCATATGCAGTTGAGAGTACCGCAATTGTGAATATCTTCTTCGGTGGCGCTCCCTATGGGGCCACGAGCCGTATGAGGGGTGTGCCGAAATGCGTGGCAGTGTACACAACACGAACGAAGACGATAGGTCCGAATTGAAAGCTTGAGCGCGTGCGAGTCGGATCGCGAGCGAGTCTGATTATGAATGAATCTGCGCGCGATTGATTCTATTCGCATGAATGCGTGCATGGATACGCCCAGTGTAAATGTATGTATACGACTGTGAACAGTTTGGGTCTGCGTGACTCTCGGTACTCGTGACTCTGAGCGTCGCCTCTGCAGGGGGCTTCCCTGGGAACCCCGACGGCAGCGCCCGCGCGCCGCGACGCCCATGTCGGCACGCCACACACCTGGTGTGCGGGACGCATGCGGACGGCAGCACTGGGGCCTTCGGTGGAGCTCCCTGTGGGGCCACGAAACGTGTGAGGGGTGTGCCGAAATGGGTGTGCGGGACGCATGCGGACGGCAGCCATGGGGCCTTCGGTGGAGCTCCCTGGGGCCTGGGGCCACGAAACGTGTGTGGGGTGTGCCGAAATGGGTGTGCGTGGACGCATGCGGACGGCAGCATGGGGCCTTCGGTGGAGCTCCCCTATGGGGCCACGAAACGTGTGAGGGGTGTGCCGAAATGGGTGTGCGGGACGCATGCGGACGGCAGCCATGGGGCCTTCGGTGGAGCTCCCTATGGGGCCACGAAACGTGGTCGAGGGTGTGCCGAATGGTGTGCGGGACGCATGCGACGGACACTGGGCTGTTGGAGCTCCCTGTGGTCACGAACACGTGGAGGGGTGTGCCGAAATGGGTGTGCGGGACGCATGGAGCTGGGGCCTTCGGTGGACTGGGGCCCTGAAATGCGGGCCACTGAGGGGTGTGCGGGGTGTACCGAAATGGGTGTGGGGAGGCATGCGGACGCACTGGGGCTTCGGTGGAGCTCCCTATGGGGCCACGAAGCGTGTGAGGGGTGTGCCGAAATGGGTGTGGGGAGGCATGCGAACGCAGCCATGGGGCCTTCGGTGGAGCTCCCTATGGGGCCACGAAACGTGTGAGGGGTGTGCCGAAATGGGTGTGCGGGACGCATGCGGACGGCAGCCATGGGGCCTTCGGTGGAGCTCCCTATGGGGCCACGAAACGTGTGAGGGGTGTGCCGAAATGGGTGTGCGGGACGCATGCGGACAGCAGCACTGGGGCCTTCGGTGGAGCTCCCTGTGGGGCCACGAAACGTGTGAGGGGTGTGCCGAAATGGAGGAGGGGGGGGAGGAGGAGAGGAGGAGGAGGAGAGGAGGAGGAGACGCGGGGCACCGTCTCTTCAAAACGAGGACCCAACACCACAGGATGGTTGGGAACAAGACAGTCCCAGCCAGAAATGTTCTAAGAACACCTCGTGGGAGCCACAACAATTTCTTAGAACATTCTTGTGGGGGGCCTATAGGCGAGCCAGGACGCTTCGCCACTGCTTGATCTTTGCGATCGCCGGGCCCTGGCCCCGTGGACGCCCCCGGCCCACCGCCTGCAGCCGCGCCCCCCGAGCTCCCCCCCGGGGTCTTGCGGCGGCTCGCCAGGCTGCTGCTGCTGGTGGAGATCGGCGAGAGGCCCTGCGATCGCGGGCGCGCCGGGGCCCAGCGCTCCGAGGCGTAGGCAGGACGGGGCCAGCGAGAGCGGCGTGCACGTACGGTTTCGGAATTCTGCGGGGATTCTCGGATCGGCGCCGCTGGACCAAACGACGGTATACACATAGACTTTCGGAGTTCCGCGGGAATTTCTTAGATCGGCGCTGGACCCCCTGGCGGCGCCTCCGGCGACACCCCTGGCGCGCTCCGCGCGGCAGGGAAGGGGGTCCAGCGCCGCTCCGACGATTGATGTTGACATGCTGTTTTTGTGCCTCGAACTTCGGGCCCAAATAGGTGTGGAAGCCGGGCGGGTTCCGTCTACCCGCTCGGACGGCAGAATGATGTACGCACCAGAAAAGTCTTCGGAGGGAAGAGAAAGGAAAAGAGCCGAAAGGCTCCAATGGCGCTGCCACGAGTCCACTACTGCTCGCTGTAAGCGCCGGCCTGGGTGGACAAGTAATGCCCCCCGAGAAGCCGAATACGAAAGTGCCATCCTGCAGAAGAAATCATAAATATAAACAGCGGCGCAATGGCGGCATGAGGAGTGAAGATTTTGTTCGTTCGCGCACCGCCGCGAATGGTACAGGCAGGCAAGGCACACTCGTATGCAGAAGGGGCAGCGCTGCCTTTAACCCAAAATATAGCGGCGAAAAATTATTCAGCGCCCCCGCCATTGGGGCATTTCCTCGGGGGCAGGGGGGGGCGCAGACTGGCCGCTACCATTAAGTCGGTCATGTCACTCTGCAAAATGAGCATTGAAGAACACTAATAGTGTGGCGATTCTTCATGCCATGTTCAACTCTCGAATCGTTTGGACATGGTTTTCTGGATCGTGGCTAGGCGAACGTACGATGCACCCGGTAGAAAAGCACCATGCGCCGCGTGGCGCCGCCATTATTTGTTTCGCCGCACTCGGTGGCGGCAGCGCGCGCCATCGTGTTTTAGCAGAGGCGTGCGTCTATGGCGATGTTGTTTGCGCAACGTGCACAATGAGGGTCGACCGCGCGCTACCATTGTGCACTGGATGGCGCGGCGCTGCCATTGGATTCGCGCGAAGCGTGAGCAATTCCCGCTCAGTAAGGGTGGCGCGCATGAGCTGGCGGTTCCCACGTTGGGCCACTGGGTTTCTTTCGACAATCTCGCGGGGTATATTGCGCGAGGGACTATCCGGACCAGACATGGCATAACTTTCGTGATGCCACCATCGGGTGGGTATGAATGGATCAAGAGCTGAGACGAAGCATGGTAGGTGTGGACTGGATGTGCGTGAATCAGGTTGACTGCACTTGTTGGAGGGTGAAAAAGGGGGTCTGCTACAGGGGTCTTCAATGGGGGATGATTGGTCCATGTATGCTCAATGTACCGCTCATGTATGTGATCGGGTATGATTGGCATCCAATGTTGGCGGTCATGGAGGGCCAGTCGTTCGTGCCCGCGCGATGCCCGCGCGGGCAAACGCGCCGTCCATCCATTACCGTTAATGCGTACGGGCGCTCTTGCGTATTGCGCGTGGGGCGGCGAAGTGGAGTGCAAGTGTGTCTTGATTGTGCGATTGATGATCGCGTATGTTCCCAACCGATGACTTGTCGACCCCCAAGACAGATTTGAAATGGGTTCGCGTTTCCCCCACCATGTGAATTCACATGTTCCTTTTTTTCCAAACTGTGAATTCATATGTCCTTTTCTCCCACAATGTGAATTCACATTCTGGCCCCTTCATACAGATTCCTACTCAGAGCTCCACGATGTGAACTCAAATTTTCCTTTTTCCCCAAAATGTGAATTCACATTTTCCTTTTTTCCCAAGAAGTGAATTCACATGATGCTCTTCCCCACAATGTGAACTCACATTTTGCCCTGGCCTTCAAGATCCCCAAAGCTCAGGCGCAGCGTTCCGCATGTCAGGTTGGCTGGGGAGATTTTGACACTCACCTCGCCGCTCTCGTGCATTCCAACCTTTCTGTCTGCGCCCCCAACGCACGGTGCCTTCGTCGCCGTTCCCGGGCCCCCCGCCCCCTTGCTTCGTTTACCTCGAGTCTCGCGCGCGGGCGCAGGCGGGGAACTTCAATTTGTTCTTCCGCCGAACACAGCAATCGAGGATGCATCGTCCATGCGTGGCCCATAAAGACACCACTGCCGGGGCCTGCGCCCGACCCCCCCTTTCGCCCTCCAAAATTGGGCGCAGTATAAGGTTGCAGCCAGTCCCGAGTAGGGCAGACTTGGGGTCGGCGTAGACATTTCATACAGACAATCACAAGTTTTTGGGTGAAAACAGAAGAGGGGGCTGCAATTTGCTGTTGTAGTGGGGTGGAGTAGATAAGGGTGCAATCATGCTTGTGATGGGGCAACGTACGACAGGCTACATGTGCACATTTGCATGTAAAACTGTAAGCGCGGCCACACTAATCTTTGTCCATTGGATCGGCTAGGTGGTCGCGCGGATCGCGCGGAACCGAATGTGCGGCACGCTCCACCAGGGCGAGAAAAATATGCCCACTCGCGCACGCGTGCGTGTCTATATACATGTACTCACGCGCGCAGATCGGTGGGCCCAGAGCGCGCGTGGCGAAGCAGGGCCGGGAGTCCGCGGCGCGCCCCAGTCGTCGCCGGCGCCGTCGGGCCGAGGCGCCCAGAGCGCAGACGGGCACCATCGCCAGAGCAGCAGTAGCACTTCACCGGACGTCCGACATACCCCGCGGGTCAACAAAATACTTCAGCGCAGGATGTCGCGCGCTCGCCGACCACGCGAAATGCCCCAGTTGAGGATTTCAAGCGCAATGCGCGCGCAACGTACTCCAGCAATGCATCCCGCAGACTTCACATACTTGTGAAATGCTCCCCGCTGGTTTCCAATATTTAAACGTACTCCGAAAATGCCCCCGCTGATTTCACACGCTCCAAAAATACGCCCAATATATTCAAAACTGACCAAAAAACACTCCAAGGACACTCCAGCGCCATTTGCGAAATTTATAATACTCTAAAGACATGCCGGTGCCATCTGCGAAATTCCCGAATACGCGACAGATACTTCAGTGCCATGTGCGAAATTTCAACATACTCCAAAGATTTTCCAATGCCATGTGCGAATTGTTGAAATTCCCCGAAGACGCGCCAATGCAATTTGCGAATTTAGAGAATTCTCCACAGATGTTCCCGTGCCATTTGCAAGATTTCAAAATGCTCCAGACATTCCCCCGCGGCGACCCCTGAGGTTTCAAAATGCCGCAGGAGACGCCCGCCAACCATTTGCGAAACACCCAGACACCCCAGGACGCAGCACGTTACCGTCTTCAACACTTCCAAATCTTCTAGGAGATGCTACCGCGTGCTCTCCGGAAAGCAATACCTTGGGGTGGACCCCGTGGCCTTTTCTCGAGAACGCGAACATGTTGTGGCAATGCCTCCCCCCTTCCCCCATTCGTCCGACATCGCGCCGCTGCGGCGCGTGACTTAGTGGGCTCGCTGGCGGTTCGCGTGCCCTGTGTCGCGGTTGCCAAAAGCGCGGCGCGCAATGCTGATGCGGTGACCACGTGGGCTGCACAGCGCGCCGCTATGTTGCGGAGTGCATGTCGTTCCGCGCCGCAGAAGCGTCGCGGCCCCAATCCGCGTGCCCGATCCGGCTGGGGGACTGGCTCTCAAAGCGCGCGCATCAAACATGTAATGCGTCCTACGCGCGTCACGCAGCGCAGCTTCTAGACTGAAGAAGGCTAAGACTGTTCCATCTCTAGATCCAGTTTTCCCGCTCACCCGCCCCCGTTTCTATCGACGAGCATTTGCAACTCGGGGCGGGGGGGGGGGGGGGCGCGGGGGGCGGGGGCGGGTCGATCGGAAGATTGATCGATCGACCGGCCAAAAGAAGAAGAGAAGGGCGAGCTTGCGGCGCTCCGCCAGCCCCCGCGAAACCTCATTTCTATGTCGTGGTGCTTCTCGCATGCCATCTGCGCGCGTTGCGCGATCAGCGGTTGCCTTTGGGTCGTCTACACGTTTGGATTGGCTGTTCTGGTGGCCCCCCTCGCGCGCCCTCTGGGCGCGCGCTGCGTCTGTCGCTTGCCCGCGACGCGAGTCCAACGGCAACCGCCCGCGCGGGGTCGGCTGAGCGCGCGGCAGGGTCGGTTCGCTCTCGCGCGAACGCGAAGCCATTGAACGTGCGTCGAGTTTCACTTGTAGCGGAATAAATCCGGCCATCGTTTACGCAGCGTTGAAACGGCGCCCCCCGTCTGGCGCAGAGGGGGGCCGCGCGCGCTTCGCGCGCCGAGAGACGCGGGGGGGGGTGTCGCGAAAACGAAGCGATCCCCCAGCAGGGGCCGCGGCTTGCATGAAGCATTTTCGGGGCACCCCCCCTAATTATTCTTCGGCGAAAAAGCGGTTCTATAATCGACGGAAGATGCGTTTGGACTACTGAGATTGCGGCGACAAGTCGCCGGCAGGAGGGCGTGCCCGACGTGGCGCGACCATGCTATGCGCGGGCCGCTACCGTTCTACGCGCGGGCCCAAGGCGCGCCCGCGCGCGCGGGAGGTTGGTGGCCAACAGCTTCGGTTGCAAAGACAGCGCGTAGAGAAGGACAATAAAATGGCGAGGCGTGGGTCGTGTTTCCACGCGCCATGCCGCCTCGCACCGCAGTGCGAGGGCGAAAACGAGCTGGAATGATGCTGCTTTCTGCTGGGCGGACCCCGCGTCGACCCAGGAAGGCCTGGCGACGACCGGCGAAATCGTGCAGCGCCGGCGCGGACAGCTGAAGGTCGCGCGGCCGCGACAGCAAAGGCGGGGCGCGGAATCGCGGTTCCCCGACAAAGCAAAATTCAAAGGGCGCGGGAACGCGCTCGCTTCTCAGTGGAAGGCGGGCGCGCGCTCTCTTCAGAACGGTCGCGGCTCCGCGACAGCTCCGCGCGGGGCCGGGGAGGGGGCGCCCCGTGCGCGGAACGGCCGCCGCTGATCAATCGCTCAGACCTCTGGGGCCCATCGCGGCGCCGGAGCAGACGGG